GACTATGACTTTGCAGAGTTTAGTGAAAAAACTCGGAGAAGCTAGCGTCAAAATAAAAATAAAAATAAAAGTGAAAATGTACTAGATCCGAAAGTTAAAAGTTTATTAAAGAAATAAAATATGTATCCGAGAATAAGTCAGGACACTTCGTACACAGAACTCTTAGTGCAAGATAAAATCATGTTCATTTTAATCTATCTATTCCATTTATCCGACTATGAGACAACATTGACAACCCTATTCTACTTTCCCTATCGACTTTTATCCGATCAAGTACGAACAGGGACGGCCTATATTTTTCTTATTATCATGATGTATTGTGACCATCATAAAGACTCTTTGGTAAACGAAGTAGGCGGAAAAAATAAGAAACCTCTATTTGTGTTATATTCCTACGATAACAGGGAATTTTCAGTGCCAAGTTCAATTTCATGCGTATTCGCTCATTTATACACGAATCCACGCACACTTGAGAAAAGTACCAGAGAAAGTAAACGAAGACCGTTTAGTTTAATGACAAAAAAAAGCACAATTGAGACCGTCAGCGCAAAAGTGTCCTAAGCTTACTATAGTTATTATGGAGCAATGGAGGTTTAAGTTTTCATGAATTTGAATTTGAGTAGACAAAAAACAATACGCGCAAAAATAATGTTTACAACGCCATCTGTTATCTATGGGTGAAACTAGGGAAAGGCCGGATTTGCATCAAAATTGATTATATTTTAAATAAATTGCAATATTCATATAAGCATGATTATGAAATATTGTGGGTTAGGCCACTTTTGCGCTGACGGCCTCTATTATACCACGAGAAAACATTACGGTGTGTGATGATGTATCACTGTAAACACTTTTATGTGCGACTATACTGCACACTGGATAAAAACTACTTATTTCATACTTTACTATTATTTGTTTGGAATCTTAAAACTATAGAGAGCAAATAATAATTTAATGGATATTCAATTCTCGTTGACAAAATAAGTACAACTTCCGTAAACATAGTTTAATTTTAGGTTGTTTTTTTTATTGCTTATATGATGCGGATGAACTCACGGCCCAACTGATGTTAAGTGCATCGCGGCAGAAGTAACCAGGGCGGTGGTGCCTGGTATTACACTTGTTTCACTGTTTATTAAGCATATTTATTAGAATAATATTTTTAGAACAATATTTTTTTTAGAAAACGAAGCATACCAGCTTGTCTTGTTTTTTTTTTATTGCATCGTAATTAAATTATAATTAATTTATCGGTGTGCATAAGGGTTTTAAACAGATTTTTAAAATTTTATTATTCATTTAATGGGTAGTATTTAGAAAAGGTAAAAATTGCCTTGTTTGTTTTGTCCTGAACGAAATATTCTGTGACGTACAAACATTTTGACAATTACGAAAACGGATATTATCTTTTTCACTTTTATTGAACGAAAAATATTGTGAAATAACTTAAAAAATGATTAACTGTTCTTAAATATTTGCGGCAACTTTGGCACTGAATTTGTTTTTCGAATAGCAAATTGGCAATTCTTAAGTCTAATGTAGAATAAAAAGATTTAAATTCGCCTCTATATACACAATACTTGATCCTACTTACTACACAACATATATTTTATTTTTATTATCCTGTCAACTTTAAAATCCAATACTGATAAATTTACAATAGTAAAATATTAAATAAATTAAAATAAACAACATAAATTAATAAACCCTTTGGTACGTGATCACCTTATAAATAATTAGACTTAAAATAATTACGATTAATATAAACTGCCAAATAAAAACATCAAAGAGAACAAACAAATTATACATAGAAATAACGTGCAAATACCAAATCAGAAGAGAAGCGTATTTGGTTGAATTGTGAGAATTCATTATTTATGGATTTTATTAAACATAATAATATCGATCATCGGTCTCACAGCTCTAGTGTTAAAATAGCATAATTCGAAACATGTCGAACCCTAAAATTAAATACAGGGTGGGGGAAAACTACACATTTTTTATTGATTGCACTATATTATTATTATAGGAGCAACTTGAATCAGAGTCTAATTAAGATGTTAATTTTTTACCAATCAATTCACTTTTACACCTGTCCTAAGGTAGTAGTAGTAAGGTAATATATTTTTACTATTTTGGATTCATAAGCGTTTACCTTCCACCCTGTATTTATTAACCGTTTTCAAACATAACAGATTTTGACATTGAAAGATAAAATATACAGACTTCTTCATTATTTAGTATCAAATAACATTGCTTATAAATCATAAATAATAACTAAACCACAACAGAGACTCGATTACCAGACTGGAAATAGAGTTATTTAGAAAATACAATAAATGCTGGATATATTTGAATATTTGAGTTTGTTTTTTTTCATTCAGATATTTGTTACATCTTTGTGACATAAGGTTTTATTAAATTCCCTTATTAAGATATTTTATGGGTCACAGTAACATTGGCACAAATTAAAATCCTCCCTATTAGAACTACTAATACAATATTTTGTTTAGACTGTACTGGTCGAGATATTGATTGAGTAACACCCTCCATCAGATTATGAACAAAGTTTGAATTTCTGAAGATATTTTTCAATTATAAACTTACATTTTTTTACATAACTAGAACATATATTTCGAGTGTTGCCAGATATTACCCAGCTGTAAAATTAGAAATAGATTGCTTTCCTCGGATTTCAATTCTTTGGTTTCTTTATCACTATTCGGCGACCATTCCTCTTCACTGCCATATAGGCATATGTACTTCAAAGTATATATCAATTTATATCTAATATTGTACAAGTCTCTATTCCAACTTTATCGGCTAATTTATAACCAAAACGATTTAGAAAACAGATGTATAGATAGAAACAGATCTTTTGTTTTCAATAATTGTACCTTCTACTTTACTCTTTGTCTTTATTTCAAACTAGCTGACCCGGCAGACTTCGTAGTGCCTCAATCGATAAATAAAAGACCTAAATTTTTGTATAAAATAAACTTAAAACAAACAAAATCAAATAAAAAACAAAATGGCTTTTTTTTTTTTAATTCCGAGCATTTTCATACTTATCTCTTTCATATTTACCTTTTAAACCCACTCTGGACTTCTACAAATAATTCAAGATCAATATTAGCCAAATCGGTCCAGCCGTTCTCGAGTTTTAGCGAGACTAACGAACAGCAATTCAATTTATATATATATAATATATATAGATAGATAGATAGATTAATACCTATACCTGGGTAGCACTAGCGTTTAACAAAACAAAATATATGAGTACTGATAGGGGGAGATAGGGTGGAAACCGAGAACGCTCGCACTATACATAATAGTAATAATAATAAAGCTTTCTAATATATAATAAAAATAAAGATTTCTTTATTATTATTATTATTAGTACATAGACTCGCATAAAATCAAGAACAGCATACGCCTAAGATCTGGATAATCGAGTTTCTATTGTAAAAACATTACGAACTTTGTTCACTTCATATATATAAAAAAAAAACTTACACCGAAAGGAATAACAATTGCATCATTTCTCGAAATAAAACCAAACGAGATATTGAATATTTCTTTTCGAAAAACTTATCATTTCGATGATAAGCCACTGATAACAGTAACGAGCAAATTAAATATTGCATTAAGTAAAAAAAATAAGAAACAATAACGATAATTATTTTCAACGTGTAAAAGATTCCTGATAAGATCATTATCGATTTATCATTCGAAAGATCAAAATCGCTACATCTCTCGAAACAAAAAAAAACAATATCACTATTCAAAATCACATAATAACAACATATATGTATGTATTAAGAAAAGAGGAATAAATATGAAGGAATGTCTCATTTCAATCATTTCGGACGAATGAGTCGGTTTGTACATTCAGTATCATATAAAATATAATTATTATCAAGTACTTTTAGTATTGAATTGATTCGTGGCGATCAATCAGTAAAATACCACTTAACTATATTAGAATCGCTAGACTTCAAATACACAAACCCCACGTGAATATAGGTGGCCATATGTAAAGACCTTTATTAGGATTGTCGAATGGAATTAACTTATACCGTACTTTTTTTATTTATTGCTTAGATGGTTGGACGAGCTCACAGCCCACCTGGTGTTAAGTGGTTACTGGAGCCCATAGACATCTACGACGTGAATGCGCCTCCTACCTTGAGGTATATGTTCTAAGGTCTCAAGTATAGTTACATCAGCTGCTCCACCCTTCAAATCGAAACGCATTACTGCTTCACGGCAAAAATGGGCCGGGTGGTGGTACCTACCCGCGCAGACTCACAAGAGGTCCTACCACCAGTAATTACGCAAGTTATAATTTTGCGGGTTTGATTTTTATTACACCATGTTATTCCTTCACCGTGGAAGTCAATCGTGAACAATTGTTGAGTACGTATTTCATTAGAAAAATTGGTACCCGTCTGCGGGATTCGAACACCGGTACATCGCTCAACACGAATGCACCGGACGTCTTATTCTTTAGGCCACGACGACTTCAACGAATGGTGTTGAGGCAGTGATTTGCATAATACTAATATAGTGTACGTGTTACCATCGCGACAAGTAGAGACACAATGATTTACGAATAGAAATTTAGACGAATTTCAACCACATTTTTTTTTTTTTTATTGCCCTTGTAGGCAGACGAGCATACGGCCCACCTGATAGTGAGTGGTTACCGTCGCCCATGGACTTCAGTAATGCTAGGGGCAGAGACAAGCCGCTGCCTACCGCTAGCCTTACTTACTAGTGATCGAATAATTTCAAAAGATAACAAGCAAACTTAACATAAAAATTAAAATGGTTATAAACGTTATCATCGGCATTGTATTGCTTGTCGTAATTATTAGTATAGTTATATACGACCACAAAGATAATAACTTTTTTATAATTATTTTCATCTGCCAACAACTCAAAGGGAACTTAAGTTTTTCAGCAATTTCTCGCCGGGCCTTTACAGTGGGTCTGGCTAGGGCCAGTGTAAAAAACTCTCTCAACTTGACCCCTGAGCTCACCTACCTTTATTGTAATATTTTTGTATTTGATTTTTTTCACGCTTATTATTTTTGTTCTTCTCCGTTGAAGTTCAATGTGACGCCGACACATAAATGTGTAACTATATATACATACATGTATAAAACAAAATTGAGATTGTTGTTTGTTCATTTTCCTTGATTGTAACTCGAAGAAGGGTGAGAGGGAAATTCTTACTCTTCTTCGGATTCGCTGTCCGAATCGGGGATCGCGTTAAACCAGTTCTCCCAGTTCGAAGGCTGACCCATCAGTGATCGACTGTAACATAAAGCGTTTTTTTTTCTTAGACGGGTAGACAAGCTCACAGCCCCTTTGGTGTTAAGTGGTTACTGGAGCCCATGTCTATGGGCTCTAAATATAAAGTAGTAAGTAAATGTCTATTTACAACGCAAATGCGCCACCCACCTTGAAATATAAGTTCTAAGATCTCAGTATAGTTACAACGGCTACCCCACCCTTCAAGCCGAAACGCATTACTGCTTCACGGCAGAAATAGGCAGGGCGGTGGTACCTATCCGTGTGGTCTCACAAGAGGTCCTATCACCAGTAATTACACAAATTATAATTTTGCGGGTTTGATTTTTATTACACGATGTTATTCCTTCACCGTGGAAGTTAATCGTGAACATTTCTTAAGTACGTATTTCATTAGAAAAATTGGTACCCGCCTGCGGGATTCGTTAGCGGCTGCGGGCGTGCTGGTGCGGGCGTGCGGGCGCGCGTACTGTTACATATGCCCCTCAATAATAACGTAATATAAATAATAATGCCGGCTAAACTAAACTAAGGCATTCTTGAATGCATCGTCTCTATATAAAGACAATTTATTACTAAAGCGTGGCAGAACAGATTTGGCTTGAGTAGCGGAAACACACATCATTTATACTACTTCTTTAATAAAATAAACTCAGTGCCAGTCACCGTGTCCTTTTCTTAAAAGAGCTCCTGGAGCCACCCCGTAACAGTACCTCTGCTTGGTGACGGGCTGCGGCAGGGTGGCGGTGGCGGGCGCGGGCGCGGGCGGGGGCGGCGCGCGGCGCTGCAGGGTCTGCGTGCCGGCGCCCTCCCACGCGCCGTCCGACGACGACCATCTGCCTCACGCACACACGTAACGCACACGCTACCCTCACCAGGGTATTCAACTTTTCGTGGAAGTCATTAAATATATATATTCGTTTATTACGTATCGCGATATCTTTATCGCTTCTTAGAATATTAAATTTAGCAATAAAATGATAAATGTATTATTGTATTTTATTGAGTTTTATTAGACCGCCAGACCGCTTACCCTGCGTTTGATATTGAATGTAGCGACAACCCTTCGTACGCAGGAGGACCAAAAAAATTGACATCGATCTCTTGTACTGTACAAAATAACTACCTACAACTTCATGAAACACGTAACAGCTTGAATTGCACTAATTATTATGGCTTTTTTTATTGCTATATGGGTGGACGAGCTCACAGCCCACCTGGTGTTAAGTAGTTACTGGAGCCCATAGACATCTACAACGTAAATGCGCCACCCACCTTGAGATATAAGTTCTAAGATCTCAGTATAGTTACAACGGCTGCCCTACCCTTCAGACCGAAACACATTACTGCTTCACGGCAGAAGTTGGTAAGGTGGTGGTATCTACCAGCGCGGACTCACAAGAGGTCCTACCACCAGTAAAAAGGGATGGGTGAACGAGCTCACGGCAATGATTATGCCAATGGGCTGCGGTGGCCGTATTTTTTTTAAGGGGTTTTATGACCTGGTAACTAAGACCTTTAAGTTATGTCTTATTTTATTTTATATTCTTAGTTTTATGAAAAATGATAATATGGAGTGAAATAAAATGAAGATGAATAATTTTAGACATTAATCAACTGAGATGAAATTAAATGAAATGAGATGATATGGGATGAAATATAATCTCACTAAAATGGTGGTCATTTACTGAGATTTTTTTCAGTGGACTTTTTGGAGGATCCCTATAAGTTATGTCCAGCGGCTTTGTTTCATTTTTCCCACATTTGTGCACTTTCACAGATATTAAACAGTTCATAAACCACCATTATTACACATTTAAACCTGAAGAAACACTAAATAGACAAAATGAAACGAATCATACAACTTCACTCCTCGCGTTCCCGCCAAAAAGTCCCTGCGGTGGCCGTATATTACCCAGTGTTGCCAGTTCCGGCTTAGAGCAATAAAAACGTATGCGAATACTCACTTGGAGCTGCTGGCGGACTTGCAGTTCTCGCACTCGCTGCGGTAGTCGTCGGCGTCCTCGCCCCCGGGCGCGGCCGGGGCTTCGTAGCTGCACACGCACGACGGCTGCAAATTATATTTGAATGGTTCACGCCCGCCATACTGTTTGTTATAGGCCAGATTGATTCGCTAATGATAAACGAATATTCACGAATACGAAATGGCTATTAACATGTCGAACGCCATGCGGCCTACTGGTGGTCCTAGTGTACCATATACATATACCATTTTAGGGCAAACCAAAATCAGGGAATCAGTAATTTTTATCAATTTGAGATTTTTATTCTAAAATTTATCAAATGCGACATTTGCACGGAAGATAAAAATTAGCTACTTTTACCGTCTAGTTTTTAAGATATTTTAAAAGGCTTTTTTTAAAAGCATACTGTAAAAACCTCGATAAAAGCTACATATGTACAACGTTCTATTTGATTTGAAAACTGTTACATACAAAAATTATTTTTAATTGCATTTTGAATTTAGAACCTGTCGTTCTCGTTTCGAAATTGAAAGCGTTTTCTAAGTTCACGTCATTATTTATACGATATCAAAAAAGGGCGAGGTGGTAATGAAAACTAAATTGCTCTGATAGCATTACACAAAGTACGAAGCCAAATGAACATTTTGAAACTTTCACGCCAGACTTTTGGCGTGTACAAAGAATCATCCACTATCTGTGTAGCAATAATAAAATTTACCGTAGACGCAGTATTCATAATACCTAAATCATGGACGAACGAAAGAATCTGCAGAAATTCTATCTATATATATTAAAAACAAAAAAATATCTCTAGGGAATTTAATGTAGCACCAACAATAATGTCGCATATTTTAAAAGATAACTTGGCACTTGTAATTTGTAACAAGAAATATACCAATCATTTCTTAGACGATTATAGAAAAATGTATAGAATAATAATGGTGCGTTAAAATTAACTGGTAGGTACGCAAAGGAAGGTCACAGAAAAATCTACGGTTTGATGAAGAATCTACCCTCTAGAATTAACACATAAAATAATTAATAATGGTTTAAAAAAAACTAAGAAAACACGCTTTTATAGGAAATCCAATTAAAAAAAGAAATTAAATTTTAATAAATTTAAATTAAAAATAGTGTAAGAAAAAATGATTTTATTGTAAACGTGGGGTGCTTTTCAGGATATTATCAAAATAACCATTCTACTCATATCTGTTCCAAAAATATTTATAACTACTGATACCATGCACCCCAATTTTACTGGTGGTAGGACCTCTTGTGAGTCCGCACGGGTAGGTACCGCCATCCCGCCTATTTCTGCCGTGAAGTAGTAATGCGTTTCGCTCTGAATGGTGGGGCAGCCATTGTAACTATACTGAGACCTTAGAACTTATATATCAAGTGGGTGGCGCATTTACGTCGTAGTTGTCTATGGGCTCCAGTAACCACTTAACACCAGGTGGGCTGTGAGCTCGTCCACCCATCTAAGCAATAAAAAAAAATTTAAAAAAAAACTATTTTTAATTCAAATTTATTAAAATTTATTTTCTATTTTTGAGTTGGATTTTCTATAAAAGCGTGTTTTGTTAGTTTTCTTAAACTATTATTTATTTTTTATTTTTTAGTTGACTTCAATTAATTTTTTTTTCATTTTTAATGTTGTGGTGTCATCGGTCCTTAATAAGTATACCAAATTTCGAGTCAATCCGACGTTTTGAAGGGGGTCAAAATCATGTTCAAAGATTCCGTTACATACAATCGTCTGAAGCTAATAAAAGCGTATTAATAAAATACCTTGTCCACAGTGAGGGGTAATGTGTTGTGTGGGGGCGGAAGGGGTGCGTCGGGGGCGGGAGGGGCGCCCCCCTCGCCCGCACTCGGGACGGCCCCCGCGCTGTCCGCCACAGCTGTGTTGTTCCCAGCAGCTCCCGCGTTAGCATTAGCATTTGTGGTCACCGCTCCACCCACGTTCTGTTCCTCACTGCGTGTCCGTGTCTGTCCGGCGCTATTGGTCCGCAATATTGGCCTGTAAATTATGTATGTCTGAAGTTGTCGTGGCCTAAAGGATAAGACGTCCGGTGCATTCGCATATACCGATGCAACGTGTTCGAATCCCGCAGGCGGGTACCAATTTTTCTAATGGCATACGCACTTAACAAATGTTCACAATTCATTTCCACGGTGAAGGAATAAACATCGTGTAGTAAAAATCGAACACGCAAATTTATAATTTGCGTAATTACTGGTGGTAGGACGTCTTGTGAGTCCGCACGGGTAGGCACCACTGCCCTGCTTATTTCTGCCGTAAAGCAGTAATGCGTTTTGGTTTGAATGGTGGGGCAGCGGTTGTAACTATACTGAGACCTTAGAACTCATACCTCAAGGTGGATGGCGGCATTTACGTTGTATGTTCTATGGGCTCCGATAACCGCTCGAGTTAGTTCAAAGATAATATATATGTGAGCGCACCTACTCGCCCGGTTACGCTGATATTGTCTCTCAAGACCATCAGATTAGGTAAAAAAACAAAAATAGCGGTGTCACGTACCCGACGTCGGGCGCGGCGTCGGGCGCGGCGTGCGGTCCGGCGGCCAGGTCCAGGTTGCGCGGCACGGAGCGGCCGGTGTCGGGGCGCGGGGGGGGCGCGCGGTGGAACGAGCGCCGCACGTCCGCGCCCGGCCCCCCCAGCGGGATGGTGCGGTGGCTGCACAGACAACGCACACGTGTTCGCGAACCACTTCGACGCGACGATACAACGTTCCGGTGTAAAAGATGAGGCCATTGTACAATATAATACAGAATCGCAAAAGTCTTATCTATACATTAGTGTAGGAACGGAACGGAGTGATATGAAGGAATGACAGATTGGAGCATGACTGAGTGAGAGAGATAGGAGATGTCGTGTTAGGAAGTAAGAAAGGAGGCGAATGAATGCGGAACATCTAGTTTATTGCATAAGCAAGAGGGAGTAGTTTCCGGACGCGACGACGCTCGGACGCATTGTAAAGACGAAAGACGTAACTTAAGACGAATTAATAAGACGTTGTTACTTAAAACGAAATAAAGCATCGAGTTTTTGTGAAGTGATCGAGTGTTTCACTGGCCCACCCCGAATTTAAAATCCCACATTAGTAGATCATTATTAAATCTATATACATTATACAATATACATTAGTAAATCTACACTGGTTTTTACGGATGTTCCGTTATAACTACTGAACCGTACTTCCGATTGACTTGAAACTTAGTATCCATGTAGAAAATACATGTACTTAATGGATAGGCTAATATTTATATGTGTGTTGGACCCCCTAATAATAATGACAATATATAATAATGTTATTTTTAAATGTCCAGCAAAGCGGGCGAGTACGGCTAGTAGTCTTATATAACTGTCCTGTCATTGCAAAACGAAACACATGACTGTTTCGCGACACAAATAAATAATAATTATTATTAAAAAAAAAATATACAAAATTATTAAAAAATAATAATAATAAGATGTTGAAGTTGCCCGTACGTGCTACGAGTCAATTTTCCAATTTCCAATTCGCGTGTTTTATTATTGTTACACGACTTCTTTCGGCGCCTTTTCTTTAGGCCATAACGAATTTAAATATTCCTTTAAACTTTATCTAACTTTATTACGAAATACATCTGAATGCAACTACACTAAACGTGATTTCGATTAAATACGATGCAATATAATATAGGATAAGTTTAAATATTTATAACATCACGTCTTGTGATTAGCATTTAGCTTCTAGTTAAAATAATGTTGAAAACATAAAATTTAAATAAATGATAAATTAAATTCAAATTCTCATTTCTTATAACAACTTTTTTGATTGTTTCATTATTGGTATCTGATAGCCTATTATTAACATGTCGTTTTTTTTCTACTTTACTTCCTCGTGCGGCCGAATACGACGTTCCCTTTGCCATTCGATATTCAATACAAAAAACGATACTTACAATGGAGTGTGTAAACTCCCAGGATTAGGGTACAAGTTGGGACGATCGTGATCGTGCAAAACGGATAACAAGCCGCGGTTGTTGATGGTACCCAGAGAGCCGGTTAATCGGATGGCGCTGGGGAAACCCACTCCTGAAATAAAAATAAAAACATGCGAACATTATAATCTGACGTCCGTATTATATATATCCAAAGTTCCGAAGCTTCCGTAAGACATTCGGTCTACTCATAATCGTGCTTCGATTCTCAGGCAAATACTACATTTTTTTTTTAATTATTGTTTACCCTATGGTGGGCCCTTTGCAAGCTCGTATATATGGGTACCACTATCAATTTTGTCTACTGGCAAGCACTCATGCGTTCCAGTTTGTTGGGTTGGGCCAATCGTTATACTTTAGATCGTTACAGATATGATAATAATTATGGAAGCCATTCAACACGAAGTCGATTAACATTAGCACTCTGCTATTTCGAGGAGTTTTGAGGAATTATCTGGGATGAATCCGTTATTTGCTTTTGATTACTGCATCAGTCATTACTGGATGGAAATTGGTCTACGGAATGAAACTACTGCAATCGTACATTGGTGAATTCGCTGTACCTTTACTGGCACCATCAACAGTTTTTTTTTTTTATGATTGAAAGATTACTGGTGTCCCGAAGGCCTTTCTAGTTTCACCAGGACAGGTGGGCGAGCAATGGCTCACCCAGGAGAGGTAGGATTTGCTAACAGCTGCCCGAGCGCCTTCGATGGAGACCTAACAACTCAAGAGCAATTGCTGCGCGACCCGCTGCGAAGAGACGGCGAGAAACTCAGCGGACNCCATCAACAGTTTTTTTTTTTATGATTGAAAGATTACTGGTGTCCCGAAGGCCTTTCTAGTTTCACCAGGACAGGTGGGCGAGCAATGGCTCACCCAGGAGAGGTAGGATTTGCTAACAGCTGCCCGAGCGCCTTCGATGGAGACCTAACAACTCAAGAGCAATTGCTGCGCGACCCGCTGCGAAGAGACGGCGAGAAACTCAGCGGACTGATGCATGGGGTCCCTAAGCCTGCTCCTAGTATTAGACCTGAAGGCGTCTAATGCTAAAGTTATTGGATCTGATGGATCCGTAAGGACGTGACCTTTAACAGTAATAATAGTTGGCAGTATCTGAGCTGTGATAGCCAGGTATGATGGCATTGGCCGTTTCATCCATTACGATAGTACCTGTATCATATGTATTTCTCACCTCCAGGAGGACCTAAGGGATGGTGTTGGATTTGATTTGGGTCCCGAGCGTCAGTCGTATGCACGGCCTGCAGTAATGGAGTGTTGTAGCAGTTCTGAGGATTCACCAACTGAAAATGAATTGATTTTGTTCGTTTATTTTTCACTCAAACCACACAACGGTTATCGAGTCTGCTTTTTTTTTTTTTATCACTATAATGTCGATTATTATGCGGTTACATGAGCGTGCACATGTACATCAGATAAGTAAGCCTTTTTCCACCATAGAACAGTCATAGACCGTGTTTCGAAAACTTTTAATGGGAACTTCGATCCTGTATTTGGGAGCTCCGATGACTATGACCTAACCCACTAAGTTTCTTACTCAGTGGGTTGAGATTCCGATCTGATGGGTAGATTTTGCGAAGCACTGCTCTTGTTAGGGCTAGTGTTAGTAAATTCTCTCAGGTTGAGCCCGTGATCTATAGGCTACCAGCTAATAGGTAGGTAAAAAAATTGTGGATTCTGGATTCAGGTGTTTCTAGAGCTCGTATGCCGGTCATTGCAACCGCACCTGGTGGCAGCGAAGGCTATCTCTGGGCAGACGGTGGCATTAACAAAAGTCAGTAACGCCGTCCAGTAAAAAGTAAAACGGCATAGAATGATCGACAAGAGGGTATCAAAAATCGTATCACGTAAGGATGATCTTTTTTTTTTCTACCTAAGCTGATGGCTTTGAGCGGCTATATCAGCGTCGCCTTAACTAGTAGGTGAGCTCACGGGGCTCAAACCTGATGACGTTGCTAACACGAACCCTAGCAAGAGCCGCGCTTTGCAGAATCTACCACCGGATCGGAAACGCGACCCACTGAGAAGATCCGGCGAGAAACTCAGTGGACTGTGTCTGCGGGTTAATTTACTCGTCGAACCCGTCGCAAGCGAGAGAGACGAGAACGATGACCGGTACTTGAGGTACCTAAAAGCACCGTTAGTTTGAAGTTATTTCAGGTAACTATGAAAACCAAGATTAATAATTAAAAAAAATAAGTTTTTTTGAAGTTTTATACTTTTAAAAGTTTTTTTTTTAAGTTTTCTGTTCAAATTAAGATTTGAAATAGAAGTAGGGTTTTAAATAAATACAAAATAATATCTGATTTCTCTAGTAAGTAAAATAAAATCAACCTGCCTATTGACCAACTTCAATGTAAGTTGTGTTTTAGTTTGGAATTATATAAATCTCAATAAACAAATCTCTCACTCTCTCTTATTTTCAATAAAAATTATTACCTGTTGAACAGGCCGTGGAATATTAGCATAGCCATGACCGACACACTGCATGGCCTCATCTGGCCTAGTGAGAGACTCTACTGTTGCAGGATATGTTCGGTGAAAAGCTGCTTCACTTTGAATCCTGAAATTTTATTGTACAGAGTAATTAGAAAATATTCCCCATAATCAGGCTTTGCTGATTATACGGTTCATGCAATATTTAACTAAAAATCATATTTAAAATGTTGATGTTAAATCATATCTCAGGGAATGTCTGACAGCCTCTATATGATAATTTACAGCTACACAGCCCCAAATTAACAAAAGCACGAACCTACTAAACTGAAAAGTATAACACTATTTTATTTTATTTCAGTTTAGAAGTTTTACCTTAATCATTTATATGAAACACCATGTAAGTTAATGTAATTTCGTACTCCCATCTTACTTAGTTCATTCAAAAAGCATTTCAGATTTCCAAGAAGCCCATTCCAGTTTGAATAATCTCACATATGTTGTGTGCTTCCATCTTATGTCTGAAGGTGGACTGGGACATTCATGTTTCGGATTTACAGGATACAATAATTGTGACATGAGCCTATATCAATAACATGAAAAAAGAGACTTTCGATACAAAATATTCTAGATGATTACCTCATGACTTCCTGTCTGCACTGTGCCACAGCCTCATCATAAGGTGGAGGCGCTTCACCCCTTGGCAGATAGTAACCATGTGGCTTCCAGGCACCCAGGGCTGTCTCACAAGTGCCACCCATGTAGCCCATGCTTCCACTGATGTACCTTTCAAATATACTATTATGAATATAAAAAGAATATCAAGAAAAGAATATAAAAAGAATATCAAGAAAAGAATATAAAAAGAATATCAAGATAAAAACAAACAATATTTAATCTATTCTCAATTTGACCACAGACATCAAGAACAAACTTTGACAATAAATAGTATGCATGCGTGGGTGCGTCAAATACACGGTATGTAGTGTGTGTAATGTTTTCTTTATTGATTTAATGTATCTTTTATGAATTATTTAAAAAAATTATTAGCATTGTGCACTTCTTCTCTATAAAAATATTAATGATCAGATAAGGTACTAAAGCAATTTTAGAGAATCATCATACCCAATACTAGTCAGGCTTCTTTGGTCATCCCCATGTGGTGGACGTCTACGCTTCTGGTTCCTTACTCTGTACAGTACTAACAGTACTGTGAGCACCACTACTGCCGCAGCACCGCCAGCTGCCCCACGGAAGTTCGACTCGTTTGAGTCAGCTGGCTTCACTACATCATCTAAGCAAATAAACTCGCAGCAATTGTTTCCGACTCGAAATGAGCGACAATCCTGAAAAGAAAAAAAAAACTTACGCAAAATGTGTTGGTTTAAATATTCAATTTCTTAAGCTAGTTTTTTATTTACCTGGGGTGGCGAACATAGTACAACTTTGCAGTCTTTAGGTAGTCCATTATCGCATATACAAAGGTTACAGGAGTTTGGTCCGGGCACGTAATGTATGCCGTGGGAAATGACTCGACCTCGCAGATCACTGCAATCTCCTTGAGCCGTAACACCTGGTATTGAAGAAACGAACGTTTGTAAATTACAAAAATATTTTTTTATGAAACAATTATAGCTGTTGCGATAAAATAAATACATCTTACAATATAATTGTAGAGTCGTCAAACATAACACAGCTTTACCAAACATTATTACGAATTTTACTGATCAAAAGCAAATGATAAATGATGTTGATCTCATTTTGAGCAGAGGCTTTTGTCTATTTTATAATCGATATTTGCTTGGTGCTCGCGTATCGCGTTTAATGTTTTTGATCATGCGTCTCGGTCAAAACGCAAACTATTAGGGAAGCCCGATAATACACAGAATCGATATTTTCGGTCTAACACGACACGATTTTAATTAATCGATTCACCAATTCGAATTTAACCAAAATTTGTTACCTACTCACAAGTTCGATAAGGCGATGTGTCATGAAAATTGACTCACCCTAGCCGTCGCCAACTACTCTCCAACCCCAGTTCAGACAGGTAACCGTCGACGCCCTAGCCACATCATTACAGATCCATCCGATCCACTAACACAATTTTATTAAACACTTGTAGCTTTAACACTAGGGGCAGAGTAGGCATAGAGAGGTCCCTGGTAACCATACTCATCGAACATATCGAAGAGTTCAATATGGAACGTAACCGCCATCAGCTCGCTAAGTTTCTAGTCAGATCTTTTCAGAGAATCGCAATACCGATCTGGTTGTAGATGGATGAGGTTTGTTTTTGTTCGAGATATTCGGGTAGCTATTTGTAAATTCCAACCCTGCCAGATAATTCCATGCTCAGCTACTTATCCTTGTAAACCTGAAAAAGCTTCTCAAGTTACCAGTAAATCATTTCATTTTAATCATTACTGTTAAGATCGGACGAAAAAACTCGAAATACTATCTTTACAAGTGAAAAAACCGATCTGCAAAACGTTTGATTTTATAATAGTACCATTTTTGAATCATATATCTACTCTATTATAATAATGTTGCGTAGGTGAAATATAAGCTAAGCCTTAAACTAATCCAAACACCCGTGGTTCGTCAGGAACGTCGACCTCCATGACGACCTGGACTTAGAGTCCATCAGTAAGTACATGCAGTCGGCGTCGATGCGCCGCTTCGATAAAGCGGCACGACACGAGAACCCTCTCATCGTGGTCGCCTGTAACTACATTCCCGATCCTGCGGAAAGAATGGAAAGCAGTAGACGTCGCCCAAAACACGTCATTTCGGATCCTCCCGATCCACTAACGTTGCTTTTAGGTACCTCAAGCACCGGTCACCGTTCTCGTCGAACCCGTCGCTTGCGACGAAGGGCTCGACGAGTAAATTAACCCTCAGACACAGCCCACTGAGTTTCTCGCCGGATCTTCTCAGTGGGTCGCGTTTCCGATCCGGTGGTAGATTCTGCGAAGCACGGCTCTTGATAGGGTTCGTGTTAGCAACATCGTCAGGTTTGAGCCCCGTGAGCTCACCTACTAGTTAAGGTTACGCTGAAATAGCCTCTCAAGGCTACCAGCTTAGATAGGGAAAAAAAAATCCAAACAAGACCATGTAACGGCCGTCTGGTGTAGTGGTAAGTGACATGGTCACTACACAAGGGGGTCGCGGGTTCGAATCCCGCCAAGGGAAGATATTTGTATGACAAATATAAATGTATTTTCCAGGATGTATATTAAAAATATATGTATGTGTATAATAAAAATCTTACATTTATATCCGTTATCTGGTACCTATAACACAAGTTCTTTACGAACTTATCACGGGACCAGTTAACGTGGCGTGATTGTTAGTAAATATTTATTTAGTTATTTATTTATTCAAGTATTCAATTTATTTGGGATGTGAGCACTCATAGAAGATACAACATTTTGTGTATACTTGATTGTGTGCTCCAAATCGGACCTGTTTATGATGACGCTTTAATTAGAAATGAATTAACCTTTCATGGTTCAAAGAAATGTAACTTAATGAACCAATAACGGGCTTCAAATATACTCAAAAAAATTAAATTACAAACCACTTTGTATAATGTCTCAAACTTTTCGTAAAGAAAATTATTTAATTCTTTACTTCGTATAATGTGACACGAAATGTGAATTTCATTTAGAAGATCGATTCAATTTAATAATTGACATCCCTGTGAAATTTATGGTACAATAATTGAGGCTTGAAAAACGAAATGAAGTTATTTGAGAAAGAACTCTAAAGTCATCGATTTTGTTTTAATTTCTCGCTGCTGTGCACCTTTATAGGTGCTAAAGTGCTAAACGGTAAATAAATCACATTTATTAGACTAGACCAAAGCAAATACTATACAAAATCAGTCAATTCATATTAAGTAGGTACCGTAAAATGGGGCGATTAGGGACAAATTCCAACTTTATGAGCTATTTTAAGGTAGTTGTTGATGTATATAATGCTATATCAGGATCAAAATGATTGAGTCTTGGGGGCATCTTTGTTGTCTAATTTAAAATTATGCAACTAGCATTCCAGTTTAAGCAAAAAATGCAAAAATAGGCGTAATCCCTATTTACCCGAAAATTGCAGTTAATTGGGACGAAATGAGAAATTTGCTAGGGTTGGCACTACTTTTATTTTTATATATAGTTTTAATTTATTTATTTATTTAGTTGCACCAACAAAGTGATCATCAATAAAAAAAATTGAAAAACTGACAAAAGTACATGGCAGACATCACCTCAATTATAGGTGCAATCGACAGTGCTGATATTTCTATCTGGGTTAAGAGATTANTTTGTATATTCAAGATGCCGAGGAAAGATTTCTGACAAACAGGAATTCTTTTTTTGTCTTCTATGCTATACACTGTGAATTTTGTATGATTTTTTTTTTTGGGGTATGTGGTTTAGTCGTAGGTCTTTTTCTTTTCGGAATTGTAGCAGTACAGTATTTGAGAAGAAAATCATCTTGAGTTTCTTTATCTGGGTGTTTATAAAATGCGCTATGAAAAGTCGTCAAATCTCGCATTGTTAGTGCTCCGCATTTAAAAACTTCCCTACGGTGTTGGCACATAGGCTTTGTTGGAAGTGTAACCGATGAGTACCTTTTGGAAGATAAAACACATGACATTAATAAATTATGCAATGTAGGTACGTGCAACCGGTAAACTGGGCGGTGGACTGTACATGCTTTGTTGGTAAAAAAATTTAACCAATATGCAAGAGGTAGTTTCCAAAGCACATCATCTTATATCACCAATAATGTATTATACATTGTACATGATTAAGACCCACTGCTCACACTGCAAGTATGTTCTTCACATAATGTACAACAATTTACGTAACAGTCAAACTGATCATCTTCTTTTTTATTGCAGTCCGTTACAATGTATATTGATCCTATAATAATGATGTAGATAATTACATAAAAAATACCACGCAATAAATTTTAAATACGTCTAGAAAGTATCAAACCTGTTTAGGCAATGTAACTTACCGCTCTTGTTTTGCTACGTTTTTTTTCCAAGTTTCTGGCTGAGCTGTGCGTTTTCGGGATTGATTGGATGTACTCGGACATGCCCGACACTCCATATTTCAAGTTTTTCTAATGTATACTTTCAAATAACACTTAAACTCGACGAAAAACAATAAAAATACGCCGATCGGCAGTTACAAACAGCGTGGGCGCCATACTGAATTCTGCGCTCTGATAGGTCGACATGGATATTGTCAGATTTGATTTGAACGGCAAGGGACAAAGTCGTGTTTGTTACAAACTTCATATTTGAAGTAGTGTTTTGCATGGGATATTGCCGTACCTGATGTCCAATGTTTTCGATTCAAACTACGTCCACAGATGAATAAAATGATATCTAAGGTTTAATTTCGGCCAAGAGTGGATATTGCCGCCTTTGATATTAGATTACTCATATAGTAGTCATTCTTTTAAACCAATACCACGTATCACGTGTTAATTAACTATTTAAATTAGTTCATACGTATATTGTTTATTTTATTTAAAACTAACCGGCTGAGGTAGATTTCGCTCTTGGTGTTGCTGTAAATCACCACATCCTAAGCTACTGCTATTAACATTCTCTTCAATAATAAAAACGGGCAGATTCTAAAACACAAAAATAGTTAATAAGAAAAAGGTATTTTAATTTTGTTAGGACAATAATTGCTATACTTTAGTTGGAACTACACCCCTGCGTAATGTACAAAGATCACCTTTAGTAATATACTTTTCTTTATCCTCGAAATGTAAGGAACAAATTTTTGTATTTTTAGCTGGCACCCAATTGTCTACATTTCGATTACGTCTAATTTTTCCCGTCCATCAAGCCGCAATGATCGGATCAGAAGGAAACCTAAAACCAAACCAAAACATAAAATTACATATTATTTATTATTATAAGTATGCGAACTTGTTTTTTTTTTCTCAGTCTCTTTATTAATCAATTTAATTTAATCAAAAAGAAAAAAAAACGCTTTTAATTGGCTAATTGAGACGTGTTTCACTTTTAATTAAACAACAAAATGTGGGAGAATATTTCCCCGTGTTGGCAACATTTCCATAAACTGTGGCATGACAAATTATTGATATTTATTTTTCATTTTGATGAATGTTTTACGCAGATATATACGTTCAAACGCATTACTTACCCGTGAAATGTAATGTTACTTTACTATCTTTAGTCGTCTTGGGTTGTAATTTAATGTCTTTTCAAACACAAAAGGACACAAAGAAAGTTTTTATTTAAGACGAACACAAATATAAAAGAAGGAGAAAGTAACAAGAAATAGTTCAAGCAGCACAAGCTTTAACACGAAACAAAAAGCAATAATTAAAAGGCGTAGTACAAAAAGAATAACACGGGATGCGCGCTCGCAAGTCAGATTTCGACTGGTGGCGGTGGATCGGTAAAAATGCGACGACCGGTTCGTCTATGCACCGATGTACTCGCGAAATATTATCGTCGCCGCTATACTGCAGTTATCGCCTGACTTTGTTTGTGAATTAATTTTGTTTAGTGTAAATAATGTTTTGTATGATTGTGAGATAAATGAATGTGTTGATATAAAATAAAGTATGTATGTGTTGTTGTGTAGTGTAATTATAATAAAATATTATAAAATAAATGAATACATTTGAGTCACCCACACTATGTTTCTTGTGTTTTTCCGATATACTGTGACATCCGTTAACTGCACAAACCGTCATTTTTAATAAAAAAATCGAGAGCAGTTTTCAATACGACATGTCTTTGAGCACTGACCATAGATTGTACACTTAATATATTTGAGAGCAC